TTAACATTTGGTATGCAGGAAAGGTTTGTGTCAATGGAAGAAGGCTTACTCAGAGATGGGATATGAATATGCAGCAGCTGAACTTTACTCCTCTACTGGAATTTGTAAATCAGCATTCTTATTTTTGTTTTTACATTTTCTGTTGTAAAAAAGCAACTGGCTGCAGTATCAGCGCTTACCTTCAAAGCCTCTTGCCCTAGATTTCATAGCAGGGCAGAAATGAGACTTGATATTTTCACTACTTAACAGACCAGGGCTAGGAGATTTTGGCGTATTGCAGTGCTGCATGCGTGACATACTGTTCACCATGCTCCTTTGTTACTGTCCTGCAGCTCTTCTCTATGTCAGAATTTACTGTATGGGAAGCAGTTTTATCATAGAATCATAGAATAGTTAAGATTGGAAAGGACCTTAAGATCATCAAGTTCCAACAGGGACACCTAGCACTAAACCATGCCACCCAAGACTGTCCTACCTGGACCTGAACACAGCTAGGGATGGACCATTCACAGCTTCCCTGGCCAACCCATTCCAGTGCCTCACCACCCTAACAGTAAAGAATTTCTTCCTTATATCCAATCTAAACTTCCCCTGTTTAAGTTTTAACTCGTTACCCCTTGTCATATCACTACAGTCCCTAATGAAGAGTCCCTCCCCAGCATCCCTATAGAACCCCTTCAGATACTGGAAGGCTGCTATGAGGTCTCCATGCAGCCTTCTCTTCTCCAGGCTGAACAGCCCCAACTTTCTCAGCCTATCTTCATATGGGAGGTGCTCCAGCCTTCTGATCATCCTTGTGGCCCTCCTGTCAACTTGCTCCAACAGCTCCATGCCCTTTTTATGTTCCCTTCTTTTAGCATCCCTGCTGGCAAAGCTGACTGGGATGACTGCAATCCTCTACCCTGCGTCATACAGAAAAAAAATAGTGACCTGAAAGAACTGATGGGTTGAATGAGGTCATTAAACTGAGACAGTTGGACAAGTGACATCATTTTAAACTTTCAAATATGTGTGAATATTTGTTTAGTCAAATAAGTCAAATATTCTCATTTCCTAACCTGTTTCAAGGGAAATTAAGCAATCAGGATTTCTAACATTTTTGTCAGTCTGGAGACATATATGGATTACCTAATACCTTTATAATAGCCTTTGAAAATAGCCTTTCATTTAGATTACATATGAGGAAGAGCTTTACTGTGAGGGTGGGGAGGCATGGGAACAGGTTGCCCAGAGAAGCTGTGGCTGCCTCATCCCTGGCAGTGTTTAAGGTCAGGTTGGACGGGGCTTTGAGCAACCTGGACTAGTGGGAAGATGTCCCTGCTTGCGGCAGAGGGGTTGGAACTGAATGAGCTTTAAGGTCCCCTCCAACCCAAACCGTCCTATGATTCTATGATTTTAATATAAACCTAGCTCAAATTTCATTCTGGCCATTAATTAAATCACTATGATTTTTTTTTTCTTTAACATAAGTGATTATATTTAATAAATGGCAACTACTATAGAAATAAGGTATACAACAAGTAATCCTATGTTTTAAAGTTGTTTAAATTATGTGAAACTGTGGCTTAAACTTGACTAAAATAACCATGATTTAGGAAGTGTTAATATTATTTTGATTTAGCTTTTACTTTTGCTTCTTTTTGAGCAATATTTCCTAATTTTAACAAGTGCTTCAACACAGAAAAAAGTCTGTTAGTCATCAAATAGAAATAATACTAAGAACCTTGATCTCCTGGAATAAATTTTTGGTATGTATGACATTTAGATGTTTTCATTATTAAAATTACCTCCAAAAATACCTATTGCAGATACTTACTATTAGTGATAATGATTATGCAGTTTAAACTTCAACATTTCTTTCCCTCTCTTTTTTTTCCTCAGTGAATACTCATTACCCTGATAAGTAGCCCATTTCTCCATATTGTTGCTGGGATTTTTTATGTAAGAAATTATAGGTGATGACTCAGAATTACCTTTTAGAACTGATTCGACTAGGAATATATTAATTGGTTTGTTCTAAAGTAGTAATTTATTACATTTGAGCATAATATCTTGACAATCGTCCATGTACTGACAAAACAGCTTTCTGAGATGTATTTATACGTGTTTGAAAAGATCATTTTGTATTTCTTGTACATTCTGGGGTTCAAGGAAATATGCCATGGCTGATGTAGGAAGGCAGACTCCAACGTCTGAAAAAACTTGCAATATAATTAAGTGGTAATAGTACTATTGCAGTGTTTTACAAGTCAGTAACAGTCTCCAAGTGAATAAACTATGAAGCTGAAAGCTGCACAGTTTATTCCAATGAAGGAACTGGACTATTGCCAAGAGTGTTGCTACAATAGTGGCGTCAAATTAGTATTCTGTAAATGTTTGATTAAATAAAGTTCAGTGTGGATTTTTGCATGTGGTATGGAAAATAATGTCTCTGTTTGAGAATGAAGAGAAAGTGTCATTTGTGGGGTCACCGCCTTTGAGGCATGCCCTGTGATGCGGTCAAGTGACCGCAAGTCTCTTATTTAACACACCAGCATGTGGAATGAGAGCAGATTTTCAAGGTGTAAAAGGCACTGAAAGGAGAAACACCACCTACAGTTCCAGTGTAATGGGGTACTGACATTATTCTCAGTGGTCCTACCTCTCCTGAATTTTGGAGCTAGAGGATTGAGACATAAAAAACCTAAATGAGTTGTAAATCAAGAAGTTAATGTTTTGGTCTCTGCACCAGCATGGTGGCTGTGATGAGTATCACACTTTTCTCAGAAAAGACAGATTGAAAGATTTTTGGAAGATGTGCAGCCTAAGTTTTAGAAATATGTGGAAAATTATCTGTGAAGCCCAGCACAACCCAGGTAAGAACTAGCAGGACACTGGAGTGGTTCCTGAGACAAATCTCCATGACACTGAATCTTGACAACTCTGCTGAGATTTCCATATAAAGGAACTAATTTAATATAAACATTTGGATGCAGATGCCCACTTGAACTAGCAACTGGATGGAGGCCACCAGTTTAGTTTGTATAAATGACCGAACAGCTGTCAAACTGTCACGATTTTGGTCAAAAGCCAGCTTTTGAAGAATGATTTAGAGATGAAAAATCTGGGGGTGTGTGGTTATTGATCCCCTCAGACCTTGTGCTGTACCTCACCTTCATTGAAAAGTACTCAAGGAATAAGGGTGGTGGAATGGCAGCAAACAAGAGTACAGATACTTCTTTGGCAGATTAAATATACTAATAAAGATACTTCTCTTGCCACAGAAACCAGTTCAGACTTTCATTTCCAATGCAGGTGTCAATAAATACTTGCAAACTAGATGCGTCAAATATCTTGCATCACATCAGCCATAAATGCTGAAGAAATGAAAGATTATGGTATCAACCAAAATCAATAACATACAATAAAAAAAGTGTGGAGTATAAAATTTAAACAAAAATAGAAACATAGATGCTTGAGAATAAACAAGACTAAACTTAGGTTTGTGTTTCTGTAACTATGTTCTTCAGAAAATCAGGCTCCATGTTCTGCTTTGAAGCTCCAACACTATGAAACATTTGCAAGGGGAACACAAAATTAGCAATCAACACAACTGATTAAAATGAGTGATTGGAATTGTTTACTATAAAACCCAGCACTCTTTAACTGAAAAGTTAACATGAGGCTACTATTTTGACATGTTAATTGAAAACAGAACAAACTATTTCCTAACTAGTTCTATTAAAAACTTTTCTTATTGGACTCAAATAAACTTAATACAGAAATACCCTTAACATCATTTGAAGTTATATATACAGTAGATGCTTTCCAGTAAAGGTGATCTGAGTTTGCCACCAAGGATGGTCTAATCCACAAAAGTTAAGATCAAGATTTGGTCAAGGCCTTGGTTAAGATCAAGATGTACAGTAAAATTGAAAATAATTATTAGGTTTTCCATAAAGAACACTTTGTTTAGTGGGCAAACAGTACCACTGTTCTGACAGTATACACACCTGTTCATAACCCTTATTTTTATGCTTGTGCTTTATTCATTACACATACTGTGACTTAACATCCAGTGGTTGAACACTTACCCATATTCCTAAAATGCCAATTAAAAAAAAAAAAAAAATCATCAATACAAAAAATGTGGCAAAGAGCAGGTGCAGAGAGGGATCAGCAATTTCAATAGCAGGCTTCTTTTAGTTCCTTACACTTACTGTCAAGCACCATCTTTGCACTAAATCCAGCTTCCATAGTAGATAACAGCAATACTATGTTAATGGCAGCTGGATGAGGATCATCTTGAAATACCACTAGAGAACTCTTAACAAAAGATAGATAGATAGATAGATAGATAGATAGATAGATAGATAGATAGATAGATAGATAGATAGATAGATGATAGATAGATAGATAGACAGACAGATAGATAGATAGATAGATAGATAGACAGATGGATAGATCCAGCTAAATATTCTTTTTTGTTGTTTGTTTTGCTTCTTTCCTCAGGATGATTATTGGGGCTAAAGGAGTGCTGAAACCGCATTTTGACTCACATCATCTCTTCCTGGAGGACTCATTCCATTGGGTAGAAATTGCATCAATGGAGTGAAGAGCAAACAGAAAATATATTAAATGCTGAAGTGGATTAAGCTGTTCTGACATGACAGAATATCTGAGTGGCTGCTGCCAGACTGCTTCAGCAACACACTTAAAGGAATTTGTAATAGACCGATTTCCCATTTTACACTGCATTTCTACTTATGGTTCCATCATTCTCTTGGTATAGTGAATCATCTGATATGATGAAGGGATAAAAGAACAGTTGCTCCACTTTATGAAATTATTATATATTATGTCAATAGGGAAAATGAGAGATCAAAGTTCGGCCGTGGGAGTTTATATGAAAGAACTAAATAATTGACAAGTAAAATGGAACCTGAACCTCTTGCTGGTAATCTTTCCTAGACTTTTCAGTCAAAACATTTTAAATTAAGATAGAACAGTGAAAACCAAAATAAATATAATAAACTTTTATTTTATTGCACAGTTCTTCTAATTTCCAAATACAGGATTCAACTCTGATCCTATATAGTTGAGCCTTTTCATCCTGGCCTTTTTAGTTGAGCTAATCAGTATTTTTATCAATGTTTTTTTGTCCAATTTTCTGCCATTTCTCTTTTGCTTAATTGGAACCAAAACAGTTTGGATTGCTGTACTGAATGGAAGTAATTTTTGTCAACTCAGCATTTTATTGCTGCCGTGCTTCCACATTAACTGAGAGTGTCTCATCCCTCTGATTTTCTCTCTAGGCCAAGAAAATCTTTAACATTTTGTAGCTTTCCAAAAGATTTTTTGCTAAGTTGTTGTTTTGAGGCAGTATTTGCAATCGAGAAGCTGATAGAACAAGCAAAGATGTAAATATTTTCCCCTTAGCAAGCACTGATTCATTGAAATGGAAATTATTTATGCAAAAGTACTGTGTTTTGAACATCATCACTTGTGTCAGGAATGAGAAGCAAAAGTAATTTAAAATCAGGTGTTTTATATTTCTTTGTTTTACAATGTCTTTTTATCATTAGACTTATTTATATTCTGTATAACCTTTCTCATGAACAGAATATACAAGTGCAATGCAACAGATAACATACAACTTTTAACATTTCACAGAACTAAAACAATCCTCTCCATGGAAGTGGTGGGGATTGGAATTGAAATATATTCTTTTAAGCTTGCTCAGAAGAAGGAAGAAAAAAAAGAGTAACTTTGATATCTAAGGTCTGAAACATTAAATATCTAGCAAGCCCAAAAAGTAATACCCCAGGAACTGCATTCTTCCCACTGCACCAGGGCTCCTCTGCTTCCTCACCACTTGTGTCCCACATGGCCTGAACATTGTGGAGTCTGCCACCTTCTTCTTTTATGTATGCCAGGCATTTCCCTAGAAGCAAACCTAACTGAGCTTAAACAAAAATAAGAAACAAAAGAAACAATAATAATTTTTGCCTGTTACTAGATTTGGTAACAAAAAGATATGTTGATATATAAACATATAGTTGTACATAAGCATTAATATATAACATATATAAATACATATTAAAATAAATGTTGAAAGTGAAATGACGAACAGAAGTTAGGAGTGTATGTGGATAATCTTAACTTTTAGCTAGTAAGATACAGCACAGAAATTTCAAGTGGTGATTGAAAAATCCTAAGAACTAGTCCTGTTGCGCTGATACTGTGTCATGGCAGTGGAGAGAGTTTTGTGCTCTTGAGTGGTCCTTTTACAGAAGAGTAATCAAACAGTGCTGCTGCATTTTGCTTTTTTGAGAGCCTCAATTTGTCCTGCAGTACTGAGCGGTATAGCTTGATCCCTGGCAGAGAGCATTCAGCTGAACTTGTTACAAATCATTTGGGTGGCTTTTCCAGCACATACATGGTAGATGCAGCAGGGTGAGCAAACACTGTACCTGGTAACACACGGCTGTATACAACAACTTAATTTCAGTGGGAAGCTCACTCAAGACAGTGTTCTTCCGGAGTTAGGCATATTTCAGTCCATGGATTGCGTCAAGTGGAATTTGGACCAAAATAATAATAGCTGAAGAGATGTCGTTAGAAGATTGTGAAAAGGAGTTAGAACTTTTGTCATGGTACTGTCATTTCTTGGAGAACTTCAGGCTTGAAGAGGCATTTCCAGCTCAAAGGGGTCAAATATTAATTCAGGTGACATAAACGCAATTTTTCATAATAGTAACATTATTTCAATATATTACAAGAAATTACACTGTTTATTACAATTTTGGAGTTTCACTACCATTATACTGAAGGTATTGAAACTAGTCACACAATTCCTTTTATTTTAGAGCAAATAGACTTCAAAATGTAGTTATTCATGCAGATTTTCGGTTTTAAACAAGAAAAATATATGTACCCTTACAGTGATAAAATAAATTGAAGGTACTTCTTGTCTTGCAGATTTCAAAGTGAAGTTGTAAAGTAATAGGAGTTAGGCTCCTTCCCAAAAATATTCATGAAGTCTGAATTTTTTAATTCCCAGAGCATATCTCTGTAGCTATACAGTTATGTATGTACAGAAATATCTAACTAGAAGAAAAATTATGTTTGAGTCGGATTGAGAGAAAGATGAGTAGCTCATTAAAAGCCTGAATGCGTCTTTGGCATTGCCATATGAGATGCTCAAAACTATGTGCAGGGCAGGTGTCAGTTCTGAAATGGCAGATGGCATTTTTGGTGCATCAACATCATTAGCTAGCAGCAGAGCTTCAAAAGTAAAGGTTTTGGGATGGGAGGTACCCTGCAAAATCAGCTCTCCTTCAAAATAACTGTGCTAGGAGCACATTCCCTTCTGTGACTGAGGAATCCACAGGACAGAAAAGATGTAAGAAAATGGTTGCTATCTTCTGCAGATGATACTTTGTAAGACTCCTTTTTGAGCTCCTCTGACAGGTCACCTTGGCCTGAATATTTGAGGCTAATTGGTATGGAGCTGGAGCTGCCACACTTTAGCCAAAAGTCTGTCAATACATCGCTACAGAGCAAGGAGCGAGCTCTACCTTCTCTGTGCTTCTTTCCAAGTAACAAAACAAAGACAGAAATATTTATTTACTTCACTGGAATTAAGAAGAATAAGTGAAAAATGCTTTGAAAATAAGTAATTATTATTAAAGCTTATTGATGCAGCAGAAGAATGTACTTCAGTGAATTCAGACAAACCTGTGAAGAGTCAAGGGCTACTCTCATTTCACATTCTTTTTCTCTTAGTGGTGGTTTGGAAAGGCTGTGCTCAAAGTACTTATTTGGTCCCAGTCTCTCAAATCTCTTTGTTGTAAATGTGATATCTTTAGAGCATGGAGGATAGGATTCAGCTGGAGACAAAACTGCATGTACCAGCACGCTGCATCTCATACTTTGGCCATTTTGTTCCTTTGCCCCTCACCCCACACAACAAAGAAAAGAGAGATCTTAAAAACTGTGGAAAAAAAAAAAAGAAAAGGCAGCTGATTTTGTTTACATTAAAATTCATGAACACATGGCATGGCCTTTAAGCTCAAAAAGTTACAGTGTTTGCATGAAAGGACAGCTCCTCATGCACAGATCAGGCCATTTTAAAAAAACCTGCAATTATGACGGCAGTAATGCCATTTTTCTGGAGCTAGAGGTTTGGTTTTACTATCTTTTCTCATCTCTTCAGCTTCTTTTTGTTCCTCTCCCTAACACTATAAGCCATATTTCTTGGGGAATAAAACAACAAACCAAACAACAAAATAAAAGCAACCAAAAAATAAAAAAACATGCCCCCTGCCCCCCCCCCCAAAAAAAAAAAAACAACAAAAAACAAATAAACCCAAAACTTAATTAACAAGAGCATATCTTATTTGGCAATGATGCTGATTGCTGATGACATTTTCATGTTCATTTTTTTATGTTACTGCTATATAGTGTATTCTCAGCTTTGTCTGTGGGCTCATTTATTTCCTAATTTATCTTTGAGAATAGAAAACCTTCAAGTATTAAAACTGAAATTTAAGAAAAGAAAACTGGACTTGAGGGTGCTGGTAGCTAGTCAAAATAAAATATCATATGAATAATTCCATACTTCAAAGGACAGCAAATGATTTGCAGGGGGTTAGAAAGCAATGTCAGGTTTTTTTCTCATACTTTGGGTTAAAAAAATACCAGATTTACTGGGGGTACATGTATATTGCTTGGAGACTGTCTACTCCAATATAGGGGGAAGACTGGGCTGACACAAAGGGCATTGCTTCACCTCACCAGGGGTCCAGGACACTTTGTGGAGGTCTGATTTTAAATAGCAACAATGCCACATTAGACGTCACAAAATGAAAGGCTCAGTTGCATCCAGGAGCAGGTGGCCAACACCTCTCAAAATAGCACCATTTCAGTGTTGAATTTTGTGTCCAGCTTACTGCGTTAATAAATGGATAAACTGGTGTGATTACATAGGCTGCAACCTCAAAACATGTTTAGTACAAGGCCAAGGCTTTTTATTTTTATTGCAGCAGCATGGCATATTAGATACTAGACCTAATGGGAATGACTGGCAGCATTAATGATAGAACAATATACCAAGCTGGGCTCTTGACTTGCAATAACTGAATAACGTTTGTGGGACAGCTCTGGGAATCCTCTGTGTGAGCAAAAGAAGTCCTGCTGTTTTCTCGTTTAATTAAGTTTAAATCTATGGAGACTGGCGGTGCGTGTCTTGGGCTTATGCCTTTTTTTTTTTTTTTTTGACTTATTCCTTGCAGCTTAATGTCATTGTAAAGTAGTTTTTAATCAACAGACATTCTTAACTGGGAATGAATCTGACACCTAGTTACCTTAGTATAATGATTTTTATTAATTGCAACACTAAGTAGACGAAAAATATCTAAGATGATACGCAGTAATAAAACACTGAACAGTAAGCTAGACTTCAAAAAGAACTTTATGATTTTCTCTTCTGGGTCACTCACAGTTGTGGTTGCCTGGACTTTTTAACCGGAGGGGCTCTCTTTAGTCTGGTTTTAACGTTGCAAACCAAGTCATTAAGGGTTTTTTTCCTACATCAGGCGGAAAATTATGGGTCAGAGGAGGAGCATCTGGTTTCCGAACCACCACAAATATTTGTGAGTTTCAAGGGAAACTGATTTAGTCCTGCTTTATGAAAAAATACTACTTCTATGCATTGGAAAGAGTTGTAAATATAGGTATGGATACAGATATAAATATACAGATAAAAAGACACGTATACTGTATGATTCAGTACTTCTTGGAGCCAAGATCAGCTGAATGATGTTCCTGACAAGAAGCCATGTAGCACTACAGCACAGGGAATGAAATTAGCCATGCTACATTTAAGTAACCTTGGTCAAGAAAGGTGGTAATTGCTAAATCTATGAACTTTTAAATTAGCATTTCCAGACACAGGAAGCTAGAATGGGATTATTTAATGTAATAAAGTTCTTTTTAATGCAGGGAAAAGTTGCTGATTAGAGGTAACTAAAGTAAAGAAGTAAAAGATATTTAGCCACTGCAACATGCATCTTTACAAGAACCAGGTAACTTATTCTTGAGCTTTAGCTTTCTTATTTGTTTAGCAAATAGATGTGATCTGCCTGCCAATTTGCATCACCCTTCACTGCAGGTTCACAGACAAGGTAACAGTTTTCCATGTAGGTTTCCTAATGTTAAATTAGCAAAGTACATACTTTTCCCTCTTTCCAGCCTCTTGTCATGTCATGCGTTACTTTGCTCTTTCCTCTTCCCCTTTCCTGCAAGTTGTAGGCTAGTAGCTTGAGTATTAAATGGGGAAGCAAGGATATGGTTATAAACAAGGTAAAAGGAAGGATTAAACTTTTCTCCATATCCCTGGTGCTTCTTTAACTTGTAAAGGAGAGACTGAACTCTTTCCATGTCTGTGTTGTGCACAGAGCCTTATCCGGTAGAGACTCTGTGGTGGCTCGTCAGGTTACTTTGGTTGCAGACAGAGAGAGAAGCATCCCATTTGTAGTTCCTCCTATGTCCAGGTCTAGCAAAACTAGCTGTGTCTTCACAGCTCTGCATGTACTGCTAAAGAGACATGCAAGTAAGTGTCCCAGGCTAGGAAACCGTTCTCTCTGTGTGTGTATGAAAGAGCATGTATGTTTCCTGTTGAAAAAAAAAATCCTCTCAAGGATATTCCTTTTTTGTTGGAGGGACAAACCTAAATTTGCACTGTCAATGTTCAAAGGGGCATGTTAGAAGTCCACAGAGCTCTCCTTTGGACAAGTGATGGTCCATAACACCTCAAGGTCAGCACCCAGAATTAACTCATATAATAAGGGGATTTTTCTCCCCATGTACTTAGGAATAGCAATCTCAGTTTTGAAGAATATGCGATAAATACTGGCAATTCATACACTAAAAGGCAAGGATTAGATTCAATATTTAATGTCTATACTAGAGACTACTGACAATCATATCAACTGAAGGTGGCAGGATAAGGTGGAAAAAATTATAAATCAATGAAAGGTAATGTCAAAGAGCAGAAAAAAGAAAAACTATAGAGGCAATTTAAAGTCCCATGGGTAACCCTAGAAGCTAAGGAATGCTTGAACTAAAGCTTTTGTTTATAATGTTGTTGTTCTTTCAGTACAGATTTTCTAATTTTGGTATATTATATAAATCAATATCACAACAGAAAGATAAAATGACACACATAAAATAAAACACAAAATTACCCCTTTATGGGCTAACTGCTTTTTAGATATTATTCTTAAAGCACCAAATAAAACAAGAATTTTATAGCTGTCTACAACATATGAATGAATTCACCACCTCTCTGCACTCCCAGGTGATTAACACATATGTATATTCTGAGCATTACCTGAGTGCCTTCCGCTATCATGAGAATGTAGAATTTGTCTTCCTGTGGATTATGAAGGTCAAATGTATTTCAATATTTAGTTGCATTCTGCAGAGATACCAGGAAATACTTTGTCTCCAGCTGAAGTCCAAAGAGAGGGATAAATCTGATTTTACCATGGTTTTATGGGACACTTTACAAGTCATCCAGAACTTGGAAACTAACTTTTGGTAGCTAAAGAATGAGCTTTAATATATCATCTGAATCTCTGGGAATTTCTATTATGTTAGAGACAGATACGGATCATAATTTTATGAACAGAAATACCCACATTTGTTTTATTCACTTAATCTCTCATGGAATTTGCATCTGAAGAAATTGCATATGTAAAAACTTTTTCTTCATAACAAACACTGCAAAAAAATGCCTGTCTTATGGTAAGTTTGGGATGATATAGCATCACCTAGCCAAGTTTTTCTGAAAATGAAGCCTTATTTCTCTGCATTTTGTCCATTTTATCCACCAAAAGCAGCTAACATTAGATAACAGCATTTATTTGATACTTGATCATCACAAACATATGAGGATATCTATCTAGTGAAATTCCCAAAGATAGAATATCAAAGTAACAGTACCTTTAATTCTGTTACGATCTTCTAGATGAGTGGAGCATGCAAACAGTTCTGCTTGAGCACATTTTTCTACAATGCTTCCAATAGAGGGGAAATCATTCTACTAATGTAAAACAAAACAAAATAAAACCGTGCTGCAGGACACCATTTATATAACATTTTGGAAGAATCTTTTTTTAACACAAAGAAGTCATAAGGTACTAATGTTGACAGTTCTGCTCTGTTTTGGGAGATTAATGCACTGATGGTGCCGCCCATAATTCAAATACTTTTGATAGTATTATAAATAAATATTCCCTGTAATGAATTTTAGGTCTTACAGAAAAGTGGTATTTTCCGCCTTCTTTGGAGGCTTCTGAAAGTTACAAAGTGCATCATATTTAAATGTAGAGATAAAAAGAAAAATTACTTGAGACCTATTTCTTTCTTTAGTTTAAGGAATAGGATTTTATTTTTCTTTAAAGCTGATATATTTAGCACTTAATTTGTAGGTGTCATCTCCTCACCTCTTTCTTTCATATATGCTCTTATCTTTTGCGAGGGTGATAAAAGCTGCACCTACCACAGCAGGTCTTTAGACCTATCCTTTAGGGTCAGTGTATGGTAAGTATAGCTCAGAAAAACTGTTCTTCCTCTGTCTTTTCTAAAAGAAGCTGAGAAAGTCCAATAGCTGTTTGTTATGACCGTATTGTTATATCTGAATACTTTCAGCCTTGTTGGAAACAATTTTTGAACAGTGTTAATATCAAGGACAACCAAGTTCTCTATGCAGAACAGAATTTTAAAGATTTTATAAATGAAGGTTAAAAAAAAAACAAAACAAGCAAAAAAAGAAAAGAAAAATATAAAAGAAAAAAGAACACAAAAAACCCATAACCACCCCAACCAGCAAATAAAACAAACAAAAACCAACAAAACAAAAGAAAAACAAACAAAAGTCTGGTCCTGCTTAGAAGACGGTTGATTTCATTTAGCATCAACCTAAACTGCCTTCTCATTTCCATCTCAGAGGCCGGTTAGGAAAATGGCAAATGTTGGAGCTGACAAAACCAAAGGTTAATACCCAGGGATGGAGGTGGCTTGCAAAGCAAGCAAAATGAGAACACTATGAATAATGCACATATTCCACCCAGTGGGCTGAAATTGCAGTTGATTTCAAAGGACTCAACATGTGCATTTGCTTGAAATCCAGACAGCAATCTAAACATTTTGCTGTAAATCAAATATTTACTTTTAAACAACGTATAAGTCTGGAGATA